CCCAGAAACGATTAAGCTCTAGGCATGGTCGTTGAGTCGAATATTTGTAGGCCTACTCATTTGTTTTAAAACACAAAAAGGGAGTGAAAAACTAAGCAGCTGATGCATTAAGTCGTCGTGTCTCCCTTTTGTCGATCATGAGTGTCAAGGTCATCGGTTTTGAAAGGCTTAAGGAGGATTACGAGGCATGTCCCGATTTTAAAGATATCTTTCTTGATTTACAAAGGGGACAATCAAACGCCACAAATGGCTTCCGACTTGAGGAGGGTTATCTCTTTAGAGTCAATAAATTGTGTATCCCTCGAACTTCATTGCGAGATTTCATAGTGTAGGAAGTTCATGCGGGAGGGTTAGCCAATCACTTTGGACGTGATAAGACCATAGAGGAAGTTGAACGCCAATTCTATTGGCCTAACTTGAAGAAAGACGTGGCTAAGATTGTTAGTACTTGTAACACTTGTCAATTGAGTAAACAGAAGAAGCTGAACACAGGCCTATACACCCCTCTTCCCGTCCCCAATTGTCCTTGGCAAGATGTTAGTATGGATTTTGTATTAGGCCTTCCACGCACCCCAAAGAAACATGATTCTATTTTTGTGGTTGTCAACCGTTTTTCGAAAATGGCTCATTTTTTCCCCCTGTAGCAAAACCTCATATGCGTCTAAGGTGACTATGTTGTTCTTTAATGAGATTGTTAAATTGTATGGGCTTCCTAAGACCATTGTGTCCGATAGGGATGTTCGTTTTACTAGCCATTTTTGGAGGACTTTGTGGCAAAAGATGGGTACCAAATTGAAATTTTCTACTGCCTACCACTCTCAGACTGACGGTCAAACTGAAGTAGTTAATCGAAGTCTTGGTAACCTCTTACGTTGTCTGGTCTGGGAGAATTTTCGAAATTGGGATTTGATCCTTCGTATAGCTCAAATTGCGTATAATAGCTCCATAAATCGTTCATTAGGTATGAGTCCATTTGAAGCCGTTCATGGGTACAAGCCTAGGAAACCGTTAGATCTCATCCCTATGTCCCCACAGGCTAGAGTGTCAGCGTCAGTCGAAGCATTTGCACAACATCTTCGTGATTTGCATATTGAGATCAATAAACAACTTGAAGCTAGTAATGCAAAATATAAATTTCAAGCTGATTTGCATAGACGACATATTGAGTTTAACGTTGTGGATTACGTTATGGTCCGCATTAGGCTAGAGCGGCGTCTACATGGACCCGCCTCCAAATTGCAAGCTCGTAGTGCTAATTCTTTTAAAATTTTAAGCCAAGTTGGTCCAAATGCCTATGTTGTTGACATTCCACCACATTTTGGTTACCATTATACTTTCAATGTTGAGGACCTAGTAGCTTATAAAGGTCATTTCATTCCCTCAAATGATCCTTTGTTACCCCCTTTTGTGGACCTTGATCCCGACTATTTGGCCACTTCTAACCCACTACCACCTCTCACAGCACACACAGATAAAATTGATGATATTTTAGATGAAGAAACTGTGTTTACTAATGATGGAGAGGTTCAGCGCTTCCTTATTCGTTGGGTTGGTCGACTAGATTCTGATTGTACATGGATCTCCAGAGAGACTACAGCAATTGGATCCAAATTTATTGGAGTTTTATCGAAGTCAGCACAATCTTCCTTGGCCTAGATTGCCTCCCGTTCACCCAAGGGGAGTTGGTGAGGACACCAGGTTCAGACCTCCACTGACACATTTTTACAGACGCCGGAAGAAGCTTGCCCAACCACTCAGCTTATGGTTGGGAGATTGACGATAGCCTATAGTGATATATCCACTCGACAGGGTTGAGTTTTCTCCTACCCCGGGAGAGTTGATAAGGATATCGGACGTTTACTTATTTTATTTAAACTTTATTTATTTTTGGACTATTATTTAAAATTTGGACTTGTATGGGCTCGGGCCCAATCTCGTTAGGGTTGCTTTACTATTTAAACCTATTTTGCATTGTAATTTTTAGTTGATGAATGAATAATATTTTGGTGGCTTATGGCGCATTCCTCTCTTCCTATTTTCTTTCTTCCCTTCTATTGAATCCCCATCCCCTTTCTTCTCTCTAATTCCCCCTCCCCATAGATCTATTCTAATTTGCAATTAACTGTCTCGTTGGTGCTGCATCAAACAGTGTGTGAATACTTTGACGTCGTCGGAAAGTCTATCATATCATTAGGATAAAAATAGCATCACCTTTTTCCTTCAATGAAAGAGAAACCCCATACTCATGAAACACCAATCTTAGGAAAGGTTATCTAAGTTAAAACTGATTTATCGGTTTATTTCATCTTCGTCGATGAAGCTTTCTCTGCAAATTAAAATGTAGAAATCTTGTAATTCAGCAGTTGTTACATCCCATTTCATATTAGTCAAAGGTCAATACTATTTATTGAAAGTAAATGTTTGACTAGTCAAAGTCAAATAAGAACTTAAATGAAATAAATAATTTTAGTGAGACTTAATTGACCAAAATTTTTTTGGGAGTTTATTTTACAAATTGACAACATTAGAAGGTTTAAGATGGGTAAAATTTAAATTTGGGGAAATACTTATTAATTATTAAAAGTTAGATGACTTAATAAGATATCATGTGAAGCTTGGGGGACTTGATAGCAAATGGGTTGAGTGGTGGATTACAAGTGGCACTTTGCATGCCATTTCTTCATTATTCATATTACATACATACACACATGAAGGCTGAGGAACGAATTGGGGCAGAAATACTGAAAAATCGGTAGAAAGAAAGGAAGAAAATAAGAAGAAAAGAGAAGAAGGGGGGGGGGGGGGGGGGGGAATTGGAAAAAGGAAGGAAGAAAAAAATAGGAAAGTTCGCCTATGTTGTTAGAAAATAAGTGGTCTACACAATTAGACTTAAATTCCCCAATTTTGGGTAAGTAAAAAGTTACTTATTGTCAAATTATGTTTAATTTTATAGTTGTTACATTAAATTCAATTTTATTAAAGGGATTAAGTATAATAAACTATGAAATCAAATAAAATGAAAGAAAAATTAGTTTTAGTAATTAAAGAGACCTTAAAAATCGCTTAAACGTGAAATAATTAAGGTTGAATATCGTCTATTTAATTAATGAAATTACTTAAAATAATTAATTGTTGGTTTAAAAATTATATTATATTTCAGGTGGCGATACGGACATCGGGACAGGGTACCATCCGAGTTGATTTTGGTTTACATAGTTCTGTGAGTGGAAAAATATAAATATTTTTAAAATATTTATAAATTAAGTATATTATCAAAATATGTGCAATTATGTGTTCGATTATATGATTATTATGGAAATCTCTTTTATTATGATACATGTGGAATTTCAAGGATTATTTATTGTACATTTGTGACTTGATATATGAGACATGTGATATTGAGATTTGTTTGGTATGTGAGATGTGATATTGAGATCGGCCAGAAAAGTACCGGTGATTATGTATTTCTAGTTCACAGAGGGGCCTTGGCCGTGTTCTATACCACACTGAGGGATCGAGTGGGGATGAAGGGGTCGTGACCGTGTATATATAATTCACTGATGGGCATTGGCCGTGTTTTAGAATTGATTAATAGAGGTCTTGAGACCCGCTTTCATTCACGGGGGGGCTAAAGGCCCGTGGCGAAAGTCCTTAGCCCGAGGGACAGATTACAAATTTTAGTCAGAGGGTACATTTTTTGTGAATTTTCCAGTACATTTGATGTGATGAGATTATAGCATGATTACTAGCTTATATTTATATCATGACTTGAGATGATATTTTACCATGTTATGTGAATGTCTCACATATTGGTTATAATTATATAATGTTATCTTGCAAGTTATCAATGATATGAACTCGATTTTCGATAAAAATGTAAAAATGAAAAAGTATAATTATTTTCGAACTTCTCCACTCACTGAGCTATCAACTCATATATTTTCCCGTAATTTTCCTACAGATGGAAATTGATTCTTTTTAACTAGGAGAGCTTAATGATTTCGGAATGAGAGCCACACGACATGTTGAATATTATAACTCATATTAATGAAGCACGAAATAAATATTTTGGGCCCATCGCATTATATTTTACATAAGCATTTGATTTTGTTGCATTTTTTGAAATAACTCACAGTCAGCCTTGGTGATAGATTTGACATCTAGTCAGCATCTATCATCGACGCACATCACGTTTCGGGTCCACTAGGGTGATTCGGGACTGATCATGTCAACAGTAATATTGATATAAGGTAAAATATCTATCAGTTGCAACACAATACAACAAGCAATTTTCCAATCCTATGGGGGTGTAACAATATGCATGTCTTCTAAGGGAGAGTCTCAATTTATCCAGCATTACTGGCGATATGCAAGGCTTATAAGTTATATCTCCTTCAGTTCCAGATATCAGAAACTTTAAGAGGACATTAAGACAGACAGTACCTCCAGCTCAGACTCATTCAAGCAAATAAAGCCGTAGATTGTTTGGGATATTGCATATGTAATCAGTGCGTAAGTATCTTGGGTTAAAATTTTGTTGGAAAGTACCATTGGAAAGATCTTCAAAAAAGAAATGGATTCCTTTACCAAGTTAAAATTCCAGGAAGGACTTCTAAGGGATATTATTCATTATTTTATGTGATCGTGCATCTTTGTAATACTCTATTACAATCTATTAAGCATTGACATGAGACCGGAGACGACATGACACAAACATGGTGACAGTGATATATAAAAATAGGATTGGGCATTTTGGCAACGCATGACAAACCACAGCTCTTTTATGAATTCAGAAATTGAATTTCAAGATTTGATCATTTGATGATAGAAACATTTTATTGAGATTTATTGAATAGCAATTCATTAATGTTGTGGGGGGGGGGAACCACTTTTAGATGCATTGCTGAATTTCAGTCTTGCAAAGTATGTTATGCTTGATATGCAAAACTAGTAAACAACTATAGTCATGAAGAGAAGGAATCTGGAAATGGAGAGATTACCCCCTGATTCTTAAGGATGCCATTTGTATCATTAGTAATAAGCCAACCAAGTCTCCAACCAGGAACAATCCATCTCTTTGATATAGATCCAACTGTAACAATAGGAGCAATTGACCCAAAGATTCCCATTGGAACAAAAGGGTTATTCCCAAAGGTGAGGTGATCATAAACTTCATCAGAAATTACTAAGATTCCAAGCTTTCTTGCAGTCTCAGCAACCTAAGAGATCACATGAACAATCGTTAATAGAGTAACTATAAGCTAAACGTTCAGTTAAATAGTATGTGAATCCCGATTGAACCATGCAATTAGGTACCTTCTTCAAGTGTTCATATGAAAAAACATTCCCACATGGATTGCCTGGATTGATAATGACCATAGCAGCAGTATTTTCATCTGCAAGAGCTTCAACTGCATCAAGATCAACTTCCCAACCTCTTTCTGGAATAAGATTAAAATGTCGGACTTCAAGATGACAGAATCCAGCCCTAGATTCATAATAAGGGAAGCCTGGTCTTGGGAGCAGAATGTTAGCATTGGGGCGAGCAAGAACTTGTAAAATGACTTCTAGTGCTTGAGTACATCCAATTGTCAGATATACATCATCCGGAGATAACTTGTATGGAAGATCTTTTGAAAGATATTCTGCTATTGCACTGTTCAGAAAATAATAGTTCCAGATAGACCATTATGAACTGGAACATAACCAACACACAATACGTGTCTTGCGAATTTTTTTATAAATATGAGCTTGTTTAATTTAAAATATGCAAAAAAAAGTATGTAATTTCTGTTCCTCTAAATTTTTTATTCTATCAAGTAATCAGTAGAGTGAAATTAAACTCAAACTATTCGATTATTATTATGATTATTATTATTATTATTATTTTGACTAAAAAGCTCAAGTTCTTTTGTTCAACGTACATAGAAATCCATTCAGTGTCTCATATAATCAATCAGGAATTAGGCCAGTACATTAAGAGAAAATCACCAATTGTGTACTTCTGAAAAACAAAATTCATCCTTAACTGTTCTAGACATACGAGCACCTCCACCATAATTGACAACATCTTCCCAATGAATGTAGAGTTCCATGATAATCCAACATTCATCTTTGGACAGGTAAAATTAGAAACTTGGTGCCATCGCTTGGAATGTTATATTATTACATACAGCATCCTTTATGTTTCATCTACAAGCAAAACCCTCTTTTGGTTTCCAAAAAATTGAAATTATTGGAATCTCCCTCACATTTTCCTAATGAAAGTTGTTGAATTTAAAAATATATATACATGTTCCAACAGAACACGTCAAAGCAATAAACTGAAAACTAGAATAAAACACTCTTGTTTATAGAAAAGATAAATTCCCGATGAAAATACATGATGGCTGCGTCCACCTAACTATGCATAGCATTCGATTATACATGAGTAAAAAGTAAAACTGAACAACACCAAAAATTCACAAAAGTTTTCCCCCCAACGCAAACGTTTGTACTGACATATTTACATGTTCATACTCAACTAAAATCATTAAAGCTCAGAGCACCAGTTGAAATTAAGTTTCCCAACTCTCCACCAATGTGGGCAACAAAGAATACGTACTATTTAAAACACCAATTACTCGAACATGTTCAAAAGGGGTTCCATCCCCAAGATTGTCACTGATTATAAGAAAAATTTGTTAAAATTGTTGTTTTTGCTAAAATTAACAATTAACTCTCTATTATTTAAATGCTGCTTACAAGATTTCAATAGATGGTTTCAAGATTGAGGAAAAATCCCCCAGCCCTCAGTGATATAACTTGATGAATTGTGTGAATTATGCGAGATGATCATAAACAAGCAGCAGTAACCTGGAGACTCCTATCACACAAGGTACGACATGGGCATTGGAAATTGACAATATGCACGCATGCATGTATAGATAAACTACCCAAAATGATTACTCAATAGCTCTAAAATATCAAAAATTGGAAAAACCCAAAAAAGTGAGTAGAAACGTGCACCTTCGAGCAGGCGGAATACCAACGGTGGAGCCATAACCGTTATACTTGGCGGAGCGTACGGCGTCACAGACGGCGTCCACGGCCAAAGGCGTCGTTCGGAAACACGGGAAGGAAGAAGGGTCACCGTGTCCTAGAGGAATAACCGGCCGGGAGTCTTCCGGTTTAAGATTATCCATCAACGTGTTCAATACACCTCTAATGGTGATTGCAGAGGCCTTGGTCAGTTCATCGTTGCAGCCAAAACGCCACCGTATCACTCCGCCGTTCTCCATTGATTTTTTTTCCCTCAAGCTTTTGGAATCTTTTATGGATTGAAGCGGTGAAATTGGAGCAACCACCAGCGAAAGAAGACAAAGTAGAATGAGTTAATGCAGAGGGCCTTTGATGGCAATTTCAATTAAACCACTCTCGACTTTAATTCGTCTTAATTACGTCTTCAAACTTTGATTTACTTTCCATATTTGTCCCATTTATGTCATTAAAATTTTAATTTACATTCCATATTAATCATTCTATTATAGCACTATGTGAAAGTGAATTTTGATGCTAACTAACATGCCTTATATTTTTAAGTAATTATGTAACAAAATAAATTGTATTTAAGAGTCGATAGTAATTACACATTTACACTTATAATGAATTAATGATAGGTCTGTGTGTATTTACATAGAGATCTAGGTCAAAGAATGATCGAGACATCAATTTAGTAAAAATAGTTAACAAAATGGCTAACACTATAATAAATTGATGTTTGAAAAATTTTGAGAGAAATAAATTAAGTATTGAATTACCTAATTGAGATTTGACTGAAAGTTCAATGACCAAACATAAAATTCCTCAAGATCCTACGCAAATATGTCACATAATCACGTGATGATTGCAAAATACGAAAATAGATCAAGTTTAAAAAAAAATGAGGTAATCATTCGCTGGACATACTCGAAGTTATATTCAATGTGTTCATCTTTAGTTTTAAGATTTTACGGTCACGACATGATTGGATGGCATATTTATTGGCTAATGAAGGATTGGAACTTTATGATGGCTAACACTGAAAATAAATAGAAGTTAGGTGTTGTGATTCTGACAAATTAAAATCAGGTGATCTATTTGAAATTTTCAGTGAAAGTTCAATGACCAAGATGAAGAAGAGTTGACATGAATGAACCTATCGTGCCCTCCAAGAAAAACAAGATCAGCTTTATCATGTCCTTAAAATAGTGTTCTACATGCCTTACACGTGCCACAAAATTAAATTAAATAATTGATATTTAGGACTAGTGGTCCAAAATAAAATTAAAATTTTGATTATTAAAATATTCAACCATCTTCGATGCACCATTCATGGTCTTTCCCTTGTCCAGTCTTCTAGTACTAAAGAACATCAAAAGTTATAGCCCTATTTGCTTTCATTCTTTCCTTGTTAAAATGAAAAATATGATCGTTATTCATTACATCAAATCAAAAAATTTAAATTTTTATCTCTCGCGTGGAGCCCATAACGATTATATTTTTCATTTTCATTCTTACAAAAATAGGAAACAAACGCCCCTATAATCTATCAAAAATCAAAATTTGTGAGTCTTTCATATATATATGGATAGCAATTTGAACTATCAAAATAAAAAATCGCGATTAACCGAATCGAATGAGAAAAAAACAAACCGATGGTACAATGTAACGGATATGGTATTTGATTTTAGTGACCCGATTCGGGGCGGGGCAGGTATGGTATTTACGTCGTCGCCCTACCTCGAACCGCTTACCTATTAGAAAAAAAATTGGATAATTGGACTTTCCATTATTCTTTCTATTATAATTTGTCTAGCCCAAAATTTATGGCCCATTACCTACCCATTAAGTAACTTAACCCAGTTACCACTTACTCACTAAGTACTAACCCTACAACAAAGAAAATTGGAATCAAATTCAACAAGACATTAGCCGACAGCCGTCTTCACTCGAGTCTCTGCAGTGCATCCCCAAATTCTTTTTTCTTCACACCGTATTCTTTCTTGCTCGCTATCGTCATCCCCATTCTCAAAGAGGAGGGTATTGTTCTTCATCTTCTCGTTTGCTAATTGCTATTGCTGTAATCTGTATCCATTTTTATTTTTGTTGAGTTTGAGTATTTAGTCTGCCTATAAATATTAAGTTTTATTGTTGGATGAACTCGATGATGTATACTTTGAGTTTGAGAATAATCAATGAAAATGCAAGGATATGAGCAACTTATTAAGCTGTTAAATTCACTCTGCACCAGATTGCAGGAAAAATCTTTGGAAATTTTACAGAGAATTTTCAAAATTGTTGAATTTAAACAAAAGTATGGAAAATTTGCTCAAATGTCATTAGTGGATATCATTCAGAGAGGAACAAGTAATGCAAGATCCTTGGTTGCCAAAATTCTTTCTCAGTTGAATATTCTTCATGAACAGTCTTCATTTTTTTTTTTATTGTGATATTGAAATAAGGGTACATATTTTATGTAGATATTGAATTGAGATATTGTTTACTATATTAGCTTAGTATTATGTTTTTATTTTCACTCACTTTTTTTTCATAATTTTTTTTTAAAATTTGACGGCCAGATCTATAAAAAATAATTTATTTTCATAGTTATTAATGAGCCGAGCCGAGTTTGTGACGCCTTGAACTTAAGTTTCGAGTGTCACGTACTAAACATAATAGCTTATGCCTTTGGTACATGTAAATACTCTTAAATAGAATTATTACATGTTAGAAACTTATTTTCGACTTGGTAAAATGTCTCTCATAACTTTTAATGGCCCGCAGAAGCGCATGTCGACAAGAAATTATATTTTACATATACGGACTCTGCACTGCCACGGTTAGTTGGGGCAGCAAGTTCGACTATTTTTATAAAATTCATCCCAACTCCGTTTTCTATGAAATTTATGACATTAGAAAGATATTTTCAAGTATTTTTCTAGGTTAAAATATAAAAGTTTCCAAGATCATATAATATGGGCGTTTTACTGAAAACAGTGAGGTATTGCACAGAAATTTCAGATTTGACCCTTCAACGTTTAAAAATTCATATCTCAGGCTACAGATATCCAAATTGAGTTATTCTTGTGCCCATATTTAGACAACTCAATGAGGAACGCAGTAATATTTTCATAGTTTCAAATGGACGTTTATGGAGTAAAAAATAATGTGTTGAAGTTAACCCAAAAACTGTCCCGTTTCTGCCTTTTGTCACTTGCAAGGAGAAGTTTTTTAAAAAAGGTCTATTAACACAACATAGAAGATATAATTGCTTAATTTACTTCCGGTACCATATTAAATCATGTCTCATACATGTTTTTATACAATACCATACGAAAACATATGGAAAGCAGTCGGACAAAACATGGAAAAACAAAACTTCGATGCAAAACAACATTGTCCTTAACCCATCATCGATTATGCCGACTGACTTCCACCAACTCCGCAATTATGAATCTGAGAATTTAGTATAGAACACTATGAGTATAAAGAATACTCAGTAAGATACCATGCTTGGATTTTATCATGTTAATACTACACAAAAGAATGCAATCAAACACATACTTGCACATTCCGGCTTGTCGGTGCCCTTCGGACTTGTCCTA